CTAAAACAGAACCAAATCATCAAATTGACTTGATAAACATTCACCAAACACTACTTACCAAGCCACCAAAGACCCACTATGGTAAATAGACCAACATATCCAAAGAACTTCTGCACATCAATCTTGTCTCCTCCTGATCCAGCTAGTTTCTTGAGCAGCACTATACCAATCACACAATTCAATAATTACCATGAAGCAAAACATTTGAATCCTCAACAAAAACAGTTACTAGTTGGGCTTAGAATGCCATACCAGTAAATAATCCATAGATTGCTGCGGAGAGAAGACAAAAAACGTCCCCGGTGATGGTTCTCCCTCGTGACCTCACCAATAAAGGAAGAAAAGATAGTAAGTTACAACCATGTTGTCCAATTAAGTTACAAGAAAGAATTTGGTACATGTGGACGTCTTTTCATTTTAAGGTGGACTTTACTATCAACAGCTGGCTATCTAGAAACAATGTAAAATGTAAGATACTACAGCTCAAGGCACGGGAGAGACGATAAGGGATTAAATGTTCAGGGATAGTTCCTCACAAGTGTAACTAAAGCTCAATAATGAAAATGAACCATACTTGCCTACTTACTAGTGGTAAGAAGAAGCTCCTGTTTACTTTCTAATGTGACATTTTTATTGGCTCGAAAATTTTAGTGAGCTTGACATATCAATTAAATAAAATAGAAATAAGCAAATAAAAATATGTCACACCAGAAAGTAGGAACTTTAGACAAACATTATTTGATGATAATCTCATCGAAGTCTCCTCGTGGGTAGTGGCTGAGGCCCAATACATTGTGCGTGTGTGTGCGTGCGTGCATGTGTGTATTGTATATATGACTCAGGGCTGGGCTCTTGGCCAAAAGAAAAGTCATATGCGATTGCTTCATCTTAAATATGAAATGAAGATTATTTAAACTATGGTAATCAATGGCAAAACTTACTCAATGATGACTGGGAACCCATTAGTTGCCCAAGTTTTTCCCAGGGTTGTCATGGCAACCCCAGCCATACTAATGAAAACAGCAACCACCTTGGTAATGGTTATGGATTCTTGTCCAACAAGAGCTCCAAACAGCAGGGCAAAAAGGCCTGATGTGGAATTTAAGATGGTTGCCGTAGCAACGCTCGTGTTTGCCAGGGCCGAGTTCGAGAAGTACTGTCAAAGTCTCAAACAAATTTATCAAAGTGACATTGCAGATAAATGAGATCTTAAAGTTAACAAACAAAGATAACCTATGAACTCAATAGATATTTATAAGTACCTCTTTTTTTTTCTTTGGTTACTTCTTCACTTCTTGAAAACATTATTAAAATCTTGGTCCAATTTTATAATCAGAAAACAATAACTTTTATCACTTTTCAAATTCTAGCAATGATCTCAAAAGTATTTTTGAGCGAGGATTAGAACAGCCTGAATCTCAAAACCAAAACGTTATCAAATAGGACCATTTTTTTGGTTAAAAAAACATGTAATCTAATAATTTAGTACTTCCTTGAACTCTAGTTTGTAATAATTTAATTTTTGTACTTTACTATATAACAATTTATACTATAATTTTGTAACGATTTAGTCTCTATTGTGAAAACTATTGTTAAGATTTAATGGAATATCTTACCAAACTTTAAGCTACAAATATCAACCACATTTATTATCAGCTAAAAGAACATGTAGTAGACAATGTTAAACAACAAAATCAGCAAAGTCAACAGACAAAAACAGTTTAGAACTGTGTACCTCAGTAGTGAACCATATGGGAGTAAGGTAAAGGCTGCGTTCAATGATTTCCCTTGTACTAACTTTATGATGTGATTCAAAATTGGACATCAAAGGCTGTCCCTCTTCCTCTTCACTCAAATCTTTATCACTAGTTAGGCTGCTTTTCAAGTCTTCATCAAAGTTATAATGTATTTCATTAAATTTCAAAGGAACACCAAGTCCAATTGAAGAGCTTGGAACAGAGCCATCATTTTCATGGTGGTCATTGAGTAAATCTGGGTTTAATAAGCTGTAAACCAAATCTTTGACAACTGCCACTGGTAAATATACCACCATGAGAGACACCCCTAAATAAGAGAGTGCAAAAGGCTGTTTATATTCAGTGAAGATTCTCTGCACAAACAAGTATTGGGTAAGTTGTAGTTTTCCCAAATTCTAAGAATGTACACAAAGCATAAGTTTGTGACTGTCTTTCTTAAAAATGTGCAGTGTTCGAAGATGAAGCGTTTAACACATTTTCTTTGAAACGTGCTTATATAATAAGCGTTTCACTTAAAAACACCTGAGCAAATTTATTGGTGATTTAACATGATATTACAGTAACTTAAACCACTACAATTCATATTAAGATTTCGCATATTTCTCAATCAAATTAATACCTAAGCTACAAGTCAATAGAAAGGTTAAGAATATACATAAAAGAATAAATATACCATAACTATTAGCTAAATCTTAAATTTAATAACAGTAATTGAACACAACATTAGAGCAATTTAAACCCCTTATTTCACTCGATATGTCGAGTTTAGTAGTGAATTAACATAGTATTAAAGCAGTTCCAACCTATTTTATTGATAGTTCACAAGAATTCGAAAATCAAAAAAACATGGCAAATGTCTAAACGAACACAAGGCAAAGCAAAAAGAACAATCAAATAAACATAGTTGAACAACAATGGCATCCACGTCCAAATCATCATGTTGGTTCATAATTTTCCCAAACATGTAACAGACATACATTCACCGCACTGTTCTGTCCATGCATGTTAAAGAGAATCCAATATTCGACGTGACTAACGTTCTTAAACCGAATTAACGAAACAATCAATCCCAAACAAAAACAACAATAAATCCTTAACAAATCAAAAGAAAGCAGAACAAACCTGAGTAATTTCCGCGGAAGCAACCCATATAAGAACTGCCATACAAATCAATCCCAAACCAAACTTATACCTCAAGCCCATTTCCCGACCAACGACAACCCCGCTCTAATTCGAACCGGAAAGCTCGGTTTCGGCTAAGAATTGATAAACATCATGAGAGCTAGCCTCTTTGACCTCGAGAAACAGGTGTTAATTTGAGGAGGTTGTTTTTTGTTTGTTTTTCTTGGCGGTAATTGGATCGACAGAGAAATTGGCTCGTCAATTGAGAAAGGTGCTCAGAAACGAGCTGCTGTTTGCCGAGAAAGTGCATTGGAATTTAGAAGGTTTTGGATTTGGCATCAGTATAATGAATGTAGTCTGGTTTTTCGGAAATGCTTTGTGAAGATGACAGTTTGTTGAGCGTTCAGTGGGTTTTGTGACAGAGCAGCAGCGCCCGCTCGACAAATATGGCACGCGTGTGCGCGCCAAAGGGAAAATCAATTTAGGATAAACTAATAAAACTGTTTAAAAAATATTTCTAATTTCTTACAATTACCAATAATACTTTTATCAGATAAGGTACGGAGATAAATTTCAGTAGTGTTCTAAGAGGATTTCTAATCTCAAACGTCAAACAGAGACTCACGATCTCTGTTATTATCATTGTTTGAATCCATTTTCATGGAAAATTTTAATCAAATGTTTTATAGAAAATCAAAATGCTCGCTAGAATCAGAATTTCGTAAATAAAGAGAAATTGTAGGATGATCAAATTTCCGAAAACTTCAACCTGAAAGTTATCTAGTTCATTCTCAGAACAACAATATCTATACTGCGAAATGAACAATTTGAAGTTAAGAACTAACAAATTGTTGATTAGTACAGCGAAATATGCTGACAGACGAGAGAAGGGGTCGATTCTACAATAAGCTCAAATAGAAGAATGAAATAACTCTCCATTAAGCTCAAGATCTAGTGCTTCCTACCCAAACCAAATAGTGCCTCCCCTAAAAAATGAACCATGTTGCACTAACTCTGTCAGGACAGATTATTTGTTCTTATGCTGTTGAGTGAAGTAGTTCTACGTTATGATCAAGATCTTGTGATACTAGCGTGAAATGCTAATAGCCAAAAGATAATGAAATAACTTTTCTCAATATTATCTTGAATTTCCTCCTCAAACCAAATATTACCTCCACTCAGAAGAAGAAGAAAAACGCTTACGCTGTCAGGATTGATTACTTGCTCCTACGCTGTCGAATTGAATGATTCTACATTACGCTCGTGATCTTGTATTAGTACAGTGAAATAACAGCAAAAACGAGAGAATGAAGTAGTTCAAATTCAGGTTCAGATCTTGAACTTAATCCTCAAACCAAATAGTGCCTCGATGGATCGAGAGAGAGCTTATGATGCTCTTAACGATGTAGAATGAAATAATTCTACATCAAACTCTGAATCTGGCACTAGTACAATGAAAAATGCCAACAGTGAAGAGAGAATTAAACAATTCTATATTCATTTCAAGTCCTAGAAATTCCTCCTTAATCCAATTAATGTCTCGATTCAATAAACGAGAAGAAGAAGAGAAAGAAGAAGATCGTGTTGCTCTTACGCTGTCAGGATAGCTTTGCTGAAACTCCTCCTCGAGCCTGCACTGAATCATCGAGAGATCATGAGTCGCCTTGGGGAACAAGTTCGTTAATCCCTCGGCCGCTTGATGATGCTGATGAAGATGATCAATCCACACACTCTCTCTCTGCTAGGATTTTCGCGCTCTCTCAATTTGAAGCTCCCTCCGCGCCAAATGAAACTACATAACGCGATGGATACGCTTACTTTCAGCCGCGCGTTATATTATTCATTTTTGGAGGTTTAGTGAATTTTAAAATTAGTCCCAATAATTAATTCTAAAATAAATTAATTCAAGTAAATAGTTATAGGGGAAAAACAAATAATAGTGCCCCTCATTTCAACCGGCCTATTAGCTCAGTTGGTTAGAGCGTCGTGCTAATAACGCGAAGGTCGCAGGTTCGAAACCTGCATGGGCCATTTTATTTTATTTTCCATTTTTCATATTTTAAAGAGCCATAAATAGGGCTTTAGGAGTAATGCTTGGCTTGAAGGCCAAAACATGTCTGTTCAAAGCCGTGTGACTTTTAACACTCTGCCACCACCCAACGTCTTCAATGCCGCTTTAAAGAACACTTCAATTCATCTGCCTCCTTTCTCTTTCATTCCATTTCCTTATAATACTAAGCCAACGCTAAACCAAGGCCACTCCAAACTCCCTTTTATGCCCATTCATGGCTAAAGCGGCGTCGTGTTGGAAGATATCCCGCAAGTTTTTTGTTCTTCTGGGTTTGTTTCTTCCGGCCACGGCGGCCTTATCCTTCGGTTTCTATTCTGCCACGTGTCCTGTGGCGGAGTTGATTGTAAAGAATGCCGTCAGATCGGCTTCCTCCGAGGACCCCACCGTCCCCGGGAAGCTCCTCCGATTGATGTTCCATGACTGTTTCGTCGAGGTCAGTTGTTTTGGTAAAACGACGCCGTATCTTCTCCTCAATTTTGTCTGATCTTTCGTTGGTGGTTGGTCGTGTTTCTTTGATCTCTCATTATTTGTTTAGTATTTATGCTTAGCTAATAAATTTGAATTTCTCAAATATTTTTAAAAATTCAAAACAAATTTTGGAAAATAAAATATATTTTTTCAGAAAAAAAATTGGAATGTTTTACTAATGAAAAAAAATAAGTTTAAAAATGAAAAAAAATAAAAAATAAAAACAGAATGCTTAATAAACCCGCCTGAAATTTTAAATTTGGATTAATTATTGTTTACATTATTGCCCTTTATCATTACTGTGGGCGGGCCGGCGTAGTACAAACTTTTTGGCTGCATTTTTATTAAAGTTTATTTTCTTTTTTGCATGTTACATTTCATAATTTGGTGGTTGTTTTAATAATGAATAAATCAATAAAGTAGTTCTTTATTAAATTAATTATTTAATTTACAGATAAAATTTTAATTTAGTTTTTCTTTTATTGAATTGTTGTAAGATATAAAATTGTAGGGGTGTGACGCTTCTATATTACTTCAAGGAAACAAAACAGAACGAACTGATCCAGCAAACAGATCTCTTGGAGGATTTGAAGCGATCGATTCCGCTAAAAGAACTCTAGAATTTTTTTGTCTCGGAATTGTTTCTTGTGCCGACGTCATTGTTTTGGCCGCTAGAGATGCCGTTGAATTCGTGAGTTCTTTGTCCATTCATAAAAAATAATGTTCGAGCCAAATTTAATTATTTTTATGCACTGTGTACGTCGCAAAGTAAGTGCATGTAAAACAATTTATAAGAAGAAATGACATTGCTTGTTTGAAATTTAAACACCATTTCAAATCTCTCAATTGCCGTGTTCTTTATTGATTTCATCCTTGGCACAGGCCGGCGGGCCCTCCGTCGAAGTCCCAACCGGCCGACGAGATGGAAGGATATCGGCGGCGACAAACGTCCGACCAAACATCGTCGACACAAGCTTTTCAGTCGACCAAATGATGAGTCTCTTCTCATCAAAAGGGCTGTCGGCAGACGATCTTGTCATACTCTCAGGAGCTCACACAATCGGAACCGCCCACTGTAGCGCCTTCAGCGACCGCTTCAGAAAGGGTCCAAACGGGCAGATGACCCTCATCGACGCTTCTCTCGACGGCACTTACGCCAACGAGCTTATGCGGCGGTGCCCCGCCGGAGCCGCCTCCACCGTCGTCGTTGACAACGATCCGGCGACGGCGAATGTCTTCGACAATCAGTACTACAAAAACATTCTGTCGCACAAGGGGCTGTTTCAGTCGGATTCCGTTCTGATTAGCGACGGCCGGACCAGGGCCCACGTGGAGAGATTTGCTAAGGATCAGATTGGGTTTTTTGAGAACTGGGGTCAGTCGTTCTTGAAACTTAGTAGTGTTGGAGTTAAAAGTGGGGGCGAAGGGGAAATTAGACTGTCTTGTTCTACTAATAATGTCTGATAATCGTAAAAAATATATGTGTATTATATACAATAGTTATTATATTTTGTTGGATCATTTCGACCCAAGAAATCCCTAAAATACCGTATAATGGAAATAGAAGTACGTCGGGAGCCCAAAGATGACAATGTCTGTGAACTTGAACCTTTACAAATGATATTCGAGCCAGTCAGCAGACAATATTCTAGCGAGGAGGCTGAGCCCCGAAAGGGATGGATTGGGAGGTTCCACATCGATTGGAGAAGGGAATGAGTGCCAAGAGAAGCGTTGGGGAGAACGAAACATTCTTATAAGGGTGTGAAAACCTCTATCTAGCACAAGCATTTTCAAAACTTTGAGGGGAAGCTCAATAGAAAAAGTCCAAAGAAGACAATATCTGCTAGTGGTAGGCTTGAGACGTTATCAAATCATTAGGCGGTCGGAAGAAAGAATATAAGCTAGCTCAAGGAGATGTATTTATTTAATCTGGAGCATAATAACATTAATACAAGAATACAAATAATCCAATGTTGTGGGTTTCTTTCTATGGTATTGGATGGATGTTTTACTCGATCAGTGGACTAGGCACTAACTGGTTAAGGTATATATTCTCGACCAAAATGATACACGTAAGAATGTCTAAAATATTCTTACAAAGTTCTGCTGCAGTTAAAGAATCTTCAGTCTAATTTCAATATTTAAACGTTCTGCAGCAAAATCCATGTAATTAAATCATATGCTACCTAGTCAAAACTAATTCCCCATCTGACACACCCAACCAGCACCTAATCTTTTGAATAGACTGATCAGCTAAAGTAAAATAACTTACAAAAACAATAATGTAGAACTATAGACTTAACAATCCACATTGCAAGAACAGAACAGGAAAGACCCAGCCGACCCATCTCTGACTATTAAAAGTTCGAGGGTGAGCTCTTTATTTAAGAGAGAATGGAGAGTGAATCGAATCCGTTTTCGTTCTTGGCTGTCCACTAACTGCCATTCCTGGCTCGTTGCAAACTGACATCATCAATTTTTTTAATCACAACAGAGGATGAAACCACCGCTCGACCATAAGATCGACTACATAGTGCCATATCCTAGAGCAACTCATTATAGGCAGCAACTGAAAATACAGGCCAACTGCATATGAATCAACATATTCAAAATAAACTTCTTTATGATATGCGACTCTATGATTAGCTCGATCACAACAATCATCTAAAATTAAGAATGCAAAGAAGCCTTCTTTGACATGCTACTGAAAGAAAACTAGTATAGAATATCAAAGCCATAACATGTAGCCTGGTATTCATTTTCTTACGCATGCATGCATTTTCTAGAAACACTAAAAGAGCCAAGGACTTGCCATGCCCTCCAGAGAGTTTCTGGTTCTTATATGCATTGTGCTACTAGCCAACTATAAGGTCTAATTTGACATTTTCGGGCAGTGAAACCAACATAGGATTAACGACGCAACTCTACTACCGCATTTCCTACCAAAAAGCTAACCCAACAGAAGAAAATTACATAAGGTCTCAAAGGGCTATAAATAATCTCATTTCTTCCTCCATTTCTTCCCCTGTTTCCGAGAGTGATAGAGAAATAGGAGTATATTATCACTTATTCACTAAGAAACATATTCAATATGGAACTGTGGTAAGAGACCCGATAGCAAAGGACATATCATATATCCTTTGAAAAATCAGACCTAAGAGCTTTGCGCCAATCTAGAGTGAGTGCTAATCTAAGAAGAATATATACAGATCCACCAGGAACGTGTTTTAATAAAACACACATCTTCTTATACAAGAAGAAAATTCAAAGTCAATAATTTTATGTATTTGATGTATTCGTCTCTCCAAATTCACGATTTTTGCCCTATATTATTATGTATCTACTCGCGCACGTTCATGCAGCATTGCCCATTCCCTTGTGGAATAATGCATTCTAACTAAATAGAAGGTTATTCATACCTAAGAAGCACAGACACTAATTTGGCTATCATGTCCATAGCCAACACATGACAAACACTTGGACACTCTAAAACACTTGTTGAACACGTATCAGACACTTGTTAGATGCAATAGGTATGTGTTCGGCACTAGTTGTACAAAGTCAATATAGGTCCATCGACACGTATCAAACAATTGTTAAGTGAATGTAAAATGTGCGTCAAGAGACTTTATCAACAAGAATCCAACCTCAAATTTATAGTTACATCGATAATGAATAGTTAAGTACTGATGAGTGAAGGGGATAGTACGGCCAGTTTATAATATTTAATGATGATTAGTAGTTTCTAATATTGCTCCTACAGATGGTTCACTGATAATTTACGGTAGATCCTTGAAAATATAGCGCATAGTTAGAGAACCTTAGCTATGATGGTGGTCAACTAGATCAAATGCAGAACCCTTAACCCAACATAATTGGATCGACATTAAAGAAATGATATGTTATATATCATTCTCAACTGTTAGGTACAGTAACAAGTAATAAAGATAGTACAAACACGTTTTTCTGTTAGCATTGCAGCTATGAGCTTCGAAAACATTCAACAAATTAGGGTTTCACTAACCTTCTTTTCTTCTCTAAGTAAATTAAACTGTTCTTGAATGTGCTTTCCTCCTTTGAGCTCTGTTATCCGTCGCTAATCTGTAAATCCAGTAGCCCTAAAACAAAACTCCCAGATCAAATGATGAATGTCGCACTAGAAGCGACTTCTAATAGAATGGGGGAAAAAAAGAGGTTGAAGTTGAGATTGAAGTACCAGCGCGAGAACATGAGCAGCAATTAGAATAACAACGATAAAGGGAACGAGATCGAGAATCCACGGCCTTGAATCAACCTGTTGCTGGTTCGCCATTACTGATAGAGATCGATCGCAACTATGACATTCCCTGATCTGCAAACGAAAAATTCATATTCAATCGATTTGCCAGCTCGGAAGTGAAGGTAAAGCGAGTGAGAAATGAAACTTGGAGCAATCATGAATAAACCGTGGTGAAGAAGATGAAAGGTAATGGATCGTCGTTAATGGAGTCCGATCGGCCCAAGAAATTCTAGACCTTCCTCTCAGATCCAAATCTTTCTGGGCGCTCTCATGTGACCCAACCAAAAAGTAAATAGGCCTGGTTTCAAACAGCCCCATCATCCATGTATGGTAAATATTTAATAATATTTCATTTAAATTGCCAATTTATAATTTGAGTTTAATTTTATTTATTTATTACTTCCTCTTTTTTTTTTACCCCTTAATTTTTTACCTCTTAATAAATAAACTGTACTGGTATTTATTATTTAATTAGTTAGACTTTATAAACAAGTCAACTCTAAATTATTTTTGTACAAATTTATATAACTATGTTAACTATTAAATTAATTCTCAAATATTGATTTTTATTATTTTACGATGTAATAAACATGTTTGTCTCTAATTAGTTTATTAATTTATTTTAATAAAAAATTTCTTTAAACTTCAAAAATATTTAGACTAAATCGTTACAATTTTTTTCCAACCGTGACTAAATTATTAATATTAAAATTAAAAGACTAAATTATGGTAAAATTGGGATTTATAACCAAGTTTTGTCATTTGTTTTAAAATATTTATATAAAAAAATCGCTGAAATAAAAATTTATTAAATGATATCGTACCATCAAAATGAACTTTCAAAATTTCATGACTAATCACCGAAAACTTTTAAAATTTCATGACCAATTGCATTCCAAAGACTTTCTTAATTGAAAAAGGGAAAGATGCTATGTCAAGTCATGTACTATTCTCGACCATACAATTATGACATCGTGAATCTCATTTTTTCACTTTCAAACACGTTAGATCAGAATGTCCACTAACACCCTTTATTTTGACTTACGATTTTAAAATATTTAAAAAGTTCGAAGGGTATTATTGTAATTTTGAAAATGAAGCGTTTGAATCGTTATCTGAACTCATATATTGTGAACATATCTTATTTAATTAAATTAAAGCAACGGATTGCTGCCGTTTGACTTTTTTGCCATCCGGTAGGAATACACTGTTTTAATTTTAAAATAAAATTATTTCAACACGTGTGTTCACATTGTATTGTTGTGTTTTTAATAGATATGAGACATTCATATATAAACTCCATTAATGAATCCACGTGAAAAAATAGCAATTTAAACTAAGACTTTTAGAATAATTAAACACGTCTTAACTACTCCATTATACTCATATTTAACATGATAATCTAAATATCTCGAACTAATTAAGATAGTGCCGTTTCGATTAAAATATATATTTTTTACTATTAATTTTATCACTAATATGCTAAATATAATTAATTAAAAATTAAAATATTCGTTTGGTTTAATATTGATATATTGTCGTAAATTTTTCAAAGGACCAGACTATACAAACGTTAAGGATAGTGATGTGATGTTAAACTTGTAAGTGTAACATATTCGAAAATATGACCATTAATCTGTAACATATTATAATAATTATTATTATGTTAATTATTATTTTTATTATTTTGTTGTCGAAAAAAAAAAAGCATTATAGCGATGCGAGGGAAAAATTAAAAATAACTTATTATCGAAAATATTTTGAATATCTCCGATAATTATTATTTATTTTAAAAAAAATTGAGGTTGAAAAATTGGTACCATCATTTGTCTTGAAGGGTTTATCGATTAAATTTTCAAAATTTAATTATCAATAAAATAGATTAGAGTAAAATAACATATAAAAAAATTATATATTTTATTACCGATTAAATTAATAAAAATACTGTTTTAAATGACTATTTCGTTATTAAACTTTAACTGGCCTAGATGTTTCGTTACAAACCATTAATCTTCTTATTCGAAGTCGGTTGATCGGTAGAAGTGATCACGTGCGACATGGAGCGATTTGGGTATTTTGAAATTACGATACCCTTTCTTAATTAGTTGATATGTTGACTTGAAAATCCGTTGTTATTGTCTATTTGCTAACGTGTCCTTACCAGTGGGGCTGAAAATAATACATCAAAAAAGAGGGACCATAAAGAAAGGAATTTCAATTCTATTATTTATTTTATAAGTTTAAATTAATTTAGGATTTCATTAGATGGAGTTGTGAAAGTTCAAATTTAAAGCCAGCTAGCATGGTAAAATATTACAGTAAAAAAAATGTTATCGAGAAATATTCATTAAAAGAGTAATTTTGTTGAATATGATAAAGTAACTTGAAAGTGTGCAAGGAACTCTAAGTATGGAGACGTGTGCTTGGAGCGTAAGAATGGCTTAATGCTTGCTTCAAGTAATTATTTTCAATTCAATTAAGCAATCTAATCACAATTAATAATTGGTATAAGAGTTTAACTAATTTGATTAATAACTTCATTTATTTACCTCTTTTGTTATAAATGGTCACCACGCTATTAAATGCTTTGTAACATTAGAAAATGATGGTTTTAATTTTTTTTATTTTTAAATAAAAGTGTATGTTAAATAAGATAATTTAAAATAATTTATAAGAAAATTAATATTTAATATTTAAGTAAATAATTAGATTTATAAGAAAATTCATACCATAAAAAGTAAGTATTTATTGCGTATCTTTTGAATTTGATTATTGTCGTATTTTAGAATCGTAATTTATACGTGTTGGAGTATTTCAAAACTTTTGAGGAATCTAGTCATGTTGTCGGGTTGTGCCATTATTACTAAACGGTTACTTGAGCTCAACGATACCCTTTAGATACCGACAAATTGACTATAAAGCCACTTTTTGGTATTTTCTCTCATCGTCAAGCTCTACAATTCTCGTGAAAACTTCTTTATTTATTTTCTCGAAGAAACTGGTTAGAATGTTGATCGAGCAAGGAGTCAAATTAGCTTGCCCCTAAGAGTCAGACACACAAAGTCCTTTGACTAACACCTCGAGGGGTCGATCAATCAACCTTGGGTTGACCCTTTAATGAGTCGGCTTATGCTATTTAGACGATAACTTTGAATAGTTGGTCGATCAGCTTTAGACGACTTACAAACCCAGTTTGACATCCTTTATGCTATTTGGACGATAACTTTGAATAGTCGGTTGATCAGCTTTAGACGACTTACAAACCCAGTTTGACATCCCTTATGCTATTTAGATGAGAATTTTGAATTGCGACAAAAATCATGTCGAGCCTCATCCCTAAGAAGAGAATTTTATCCCGAATTTGTTATATGAACCAACTTCGACCAACTCATCAAAGGGGCTAGTCAACAATTCCCTCTAATTCACTATAGTCGGTCGAGTGACCTTGGCTCGACCCCTCACGATATTGACCCATCTGAAATTGAGTTCTCAAGTATTAGACCTTTTTTGGTTTCGGACTTAAGACTTTAAAATTTAATATTTAATAAAATAAGAGAAAACACATTTGGTACAAATGTAATATCATATTTTTAGAAGCGCACGGAAGCAAAAGAAAAAGAATAATTAAAAAAAAAAAAAGGAATAAATTTAAAGAGAAGAGAAATATAGAAATGTAGTTGAGGCTCACAGAACGAGTGGTGTACCGTCGTTGCATGTGCGCCACGTGTGAATCATGGGCCCGAGAAAGGACGGCCATTTCAATGGCGCTTCAAAAACTCTCACGGTTGCATTGACTCGGTCCAAGCGCGCGCGAGCTCAGCTCTTCCAATGGCGACGCGTAATCCCATGACCTCTTCTCTCCTTTTTTGGTACCACCAAATAACAAACTCCTTTTTATTTATTTAATCATTATTACCAAAATAAATACCCAAAAAAAAAAAAAATCCTTTTTATTTAATTTTTAATTTCCCCCAACAAACTAAAAACCCAAAAAATGCAACAGAATCCTCCCCTGTTTTCCCCATTCTCCGTCGACTCGTCGTTTCTCCTTTAAACGCTCCTGAGCTCTCTCTTCTTTTTCTTTTTGCTTCCATTTGTCTTTCCCCTTCTATTCTTCTCCCTCCTTCCTTTACAGGTATTCTCTTTAGAATCTCATATCTCTCTGTATTCGTGTTTCTTGTTCTAACTTTCTTGATTCATTCCTCTATGGCTGTAATTATTGCTCCAATTATCATCGTTATCTGAAGCCTTTACCGATTTTTCTCGATTTCACATGGCTTGCTTGTTCTTGGAGATATAAGATCCGTGTTATTGCATCATTTTTGTGGCTTCTTTTTGTTTATTGTGTAATCTGAATCGGGGAGTTGTGGATATAATTGCAGATTTGAGTTCATGTTCGGTGGCTCCACTGTCATGTGAGGAGCGGCTTATTCCTTTCGCATCTGTGACTATAGCTTCAAGATATTTCTTGTTTTTCCATTTTGATCGAAGAGATTGGAGCTGAGCATTTTGAGAGCCTACACAATATGGGCTATCTGAATTCAGTCTTGTCTTGTTCGAGCCAGATTCATGCTGCTGAGGAGGCTCCTGTAAGCGGCGGGGGACTAAGGTAGATTCGGAGTTTTTTTGTTCGTTAATCTGCGTGGTGGATCCAAAGCTGTTTGGATTGATAAAAGTATTCTTGTTTGGATTTGCTGTTTCGTTTTAATTTCAATGTCGAAAGAACAGAATCTTGTTAAAGATTGGGCGTGCTTTCTGAGGAATATTATTCCTTATTGCGTAAGCGATTATTGGAACTATCCTCAATCGATTGGGTTTGTAATTTGGCGATGTTACCTTTATTTTAGATTCATCAATGATAATCTGCTCTGGAATTTATGCATAATCCCTTCTTCAATTGAATTTTATGACTGATTGGCAAGGATATGATGATTTGTAGTACCTCCGGTTCCAGTTGAATGAATTAATCTCAATTTCATGGGCCGTGGAGGTTGAAGTTTTTCTTATGGTTGTTAATAGTGAAGTTGATTGCGCTGATGGATACTTTTGATTGTATGGCGTTTTGGATGGTTTCTTTAATTTCTCTACGTATTTAAGGCTTTTATTGTTTATTCTCTCTGATTGATTTTCATTACGAGGCATTAGAATAACATACTCGTT